ATAAGAGCACCACAGAGAACTAAAGATAAACGAATGCTTCTTATTTTAAATGCTGACACAAATGGCTTATTAGGCTATGTAAAATCCGTTTTACTAGTGCAAATGGATCCCATTTTTCCACGCTCTAGAAACTGATAACCACATGCTGCACTTTAACACTGATATTAGGCCCACCAGCGGGCGAGCGGTAAAGTCGCTGACCACTAGTAGTTCGGTTCGAATTTCGCGAAAGGGCTGGCTGCATGTGCGTTTTTGTGATTTTCTCCATGTGTAACGTGCATATGAGCCAGTTTCTCTTAGAAAGTCCTCCACGAAAATATTCTTTTCTTTGGGCTTTACCATAATCACAAAAAAAAAAAAAAAAAAAAAAAAAAATTGAACTGATATTAATTGTGATAAGTTACTCAGACTTCCTTTTTCACGAATTATGAAATTTTCTATCAATAAAAACGTATTTAAGTCAATTTAACTTCCCTTGGAAGCAATCGGGAAGTATTTTAACTCCCCGGAATATAAAATCAGTGAATTCCATGAATGCGAGACTTTCAGGGAAACAGGATCCTAGTTTCTCGGATAGGAAACTGTAATGAAAACGCAGAGACGCTATTATAAACGAAGGTCATTCTGCAATTATCTGAAATTTTTAACAGAATCATTGGTTTAAACACAGCTGTTTGTATGCACTGAAACATCCAATTATTGCGATTGAATAGTTGTGTAAATAAATGCTATAAGCCGAATTAATAATAATGAAACAGGTATGGAAATAATACTAATGAAGCTGAGTGGAAGTACCAGTAATGAAATTCTAAATTAATTAATTACTTCTAGCGAAAGTGGGTGTACTTTCAGGAAAAGAGATTACATTAAAAGTAAATAGCAATTATAAATTTGCTAGTATATCCAAAAGAAATGCGAAAGTAAACTGAAATCTAATACTGTCGTTTCACCATTTGAATGAATTGTAAGTATATTTGCTTTTTCTCGTTTTAAATTTAAACGTCTTCTTTAATTAGTAAGATATTTCTGCTTTATTTTCATCAGAAACATTTTACTGTGAGTAACTATGAAGGAACAGATTTCGAAATCTTCTATGCGAATAATGGAAAAAAAATATCTAATATTTTCTTACAACTACATTAATTAATAAGATTTTTTTTTTGATAAATGTAGGCTTTGTTAGTTAGGCTGCATGAAGAAATGTCTTTCTTAGAAATATTATATGCAAGCTAGTTTTTAATTTTTTTTTTTATTTCAGTTGACTGAGTCTAAAATATAAAAGACTGACTATGATTACATTTCAAAGTAATATTATTAAGGAATAAATAAAATTGATTTGTCCTTGTTTATCGCTGTATCTCTAAATATCATAACTTTCTATCAATGTGCTAATTAATTAGTTACTTAATACAATGCGCAAAAGCGATTAGATAATTAATTATCACACTAAATAATCAATAGCATGTAACAGAACATACTGAAGTGTCTAAAATTTCTAATGCTTTTATAGAGTTGTTAGGTTATTTTGAAGCAAGAGATGTAAAAAAAATGAGCAATATTCTCGCTGGGACTCGAACTTGGACCTCCCACATACACGCCGAGTGTGCTACCGTTACACCACGAAGACATACTGGAAGGAGGGAGAAAATACCTTATATACTCTCTCTTTTAAAGGGCGACTGGGGATTGGAAGACCCAATCGCCAAATTCTGGTGGTGATGAAATATTACCCACCGCCTTTTAAGACGGCGTCATTTGTAGAGTCATTAGGTTATTTTGAAGATAAAAAATGTGCAATGTTTTCGTTGGGACTCGAACGGAACCTATCGAATACGCGCCGAGTGTGCTACCATTACTACCACGGAGGTATGCTGGAACGAGGGAGAAAATATCTTATAATTTGGATTTGATATGGAATAGCATCGGTATCTTTTGATGCCAGTTTTTTGGGAAAAAATACAAGCTTTCTTAAAAATATGGAGTGAGGACGGGGAACTTTACGAGAGTGCAACGAACCAAAACTTCATAGCAATCATGATTAACTTTATTGGTTTAAAGCTTGTAGAAATCCACACTACATTAAAATAACTGTTAAAAGAATTTTTGGAAACGCTTACTGAAGTTGTTTATTACTAGATATAATAGGTATCTAACGTGAAAGAAGTTTGAACTGCTAAGATGTTGTTAAGTAAAATATATATCTCAGAAATGAGATAAGAAGCTTGCTCATAAATTCTTTAACTGTAAATTTAGTTTTAGAGCTAACGGATTTCTTATGTTCAGATATTAAATGCTTCTTAATTTGTCTTGGTAATGATATACAACAATAAAAAAGAAATTCAATTTCAATCTAGAAGCTTTTCACTTTAGTAGCCAACTATCGATTCCAACTCGGTTCATAAAGGGAGGTTTTCTGATATCTTTTGCTGGATATTAGTGGGTAGAATTTGACCTACTAAATAAAATATCCAATGGATAGGGAGACTTGACCTGTTTGGAGCTCTAGAAACAGTTCTATTTAATAAATCATTGGAGGAAGAACAAGTTAAAGCTGTAGTTCCATTACTATTGAATATTCTGCAAAAAGTTTTTCTTTAAGTAAGAAAAGCTTCTTAAATTAATTCTAATATGCAAGAAATGTAAGGCAAAACAATTTATCACAAATAAATTTTGAGGACAGCTAATGTCTGATTTGAAAGTGGGACTAAAATTTTTTGTCAAAAATAAAACGAAATGGCTTTTACTTACTTCACTGTACCAAATCGTAACTTTAAAATTGGGCCGAATTTTGTATCTGTAGCAGCCATGAAGCGAAAGACTCTAGAAATTCCTGGTGTTCCTGATGTAGTTGATTTTACTGTCTACTGAGATAAATGTAGGATCCAATTTGTAACATTGTTCCCCAGGCATCATTTGCCTGAAGATGAGAACGCGAGACATTTTAATAGTCTTTGAAAATGATTGTGTATCACCAAATTTGTCGGAATGATCAATAAATTTCGTGACATGATGTAATGATTTCTACCTAAGTTATTTATAAATTCTACACAATATTCCCTACATTAAAATATAATAGAATAATAGTAAACAAATAATTTAATACATATTTACAAAATTAAAAAAAAAAAAAAAAAAAAAAAAAAAAAAAAAAAAAAAAAAAGGAAGAAAAAAAAATCTGAAAGGTTTCAGATTTTAAATTACGTCCAAAGGGGGCGTTTTTTTTAACATTTTGTGTATTACTTTTATTTATTAAATATCATGTTCTACGTACACAAACTATAAAATTGAGTTCAACAGCAATATCGCAAATTAATTTTAAAATGAGCATATCTTTAGAATTTCCGATACAGAGTCTCGCGCGCTGAAGATAAAAATGTTTATTTTTTGTACTGTGTTGCCATTGCTTGGTTTGAAATCGTTTAGTTTTTTAATCAAAAATTCGTTCAAGTGTTACAAAATCTGAAATCGATAATAAAACAAATTACAAATTCAAATTAGGTTTTCCACATGCCCAAATTCTATGGAAGATTACGTTATTCAAATTTTGATGGCTCTAGATACCGTTGTTTTTTCACAATGCGAGAAGCATACACACATTTATGCAGATTCTTCATTATTTAATTTCTTTACATATAAGACAGGGCGATAATATATGGTGGCAACGCTTTAAAAGTGATACAGCCTTTATACTGCCACGATACAAAATGCCAAACCGAAATTAATAGTTCTTCAGGGCAAATTGCCCCTTTGGACTAAAAGCAAATATACTTGAAATTAGAGCAATGAAAATACGAAACAAATATGCATATGTTTATAATATAAAAAAATGGCAGCCAGTTTCGACAAATTTTTGGGGTCGATATCTTCAGTTTTATCGGACTTATTTGAAAGCTATGTAAAAATTTTCACATACTAAATGTGAGGAAATAATTATAAACATAAACGCACTGCAATGCAAGTTAGCACAAATAACAGTGCAAAATATAAAACAAATGCACACAAAACTTGGCAAATAAAAGTGAAAAATGTGTAAATAAATATTATTTATTTCGAGAACAAATCAAACAATTATTTTCAGCAATGCAAATGTAGGTCATATCTAGGTCTACACAATAATAACAAATTCATTACAGTTAATTGTTTATTACATTTATTTTTTGAACCAAGTACTGGAGAACATAATGCTTGAAAATACTAGGGAAAAAATAGCGTAGCATGTGTAATTCTGGAATTTATTTATTCAAGTTTACTTTCTTCTGATCGCAAATGCAATTTCCTGAAGTTTAAGAAAAGGTTGCAAAGCGTACACATCTGCTACACGTCAGTGGAGGGAAACTGCAAAGAAGCATGAAAAAAAAATTCTATAAAAAGTCTGGGATACGTAATGAACATTAATCAAATTTTCTATTGCGAGCGATAGAGCGGCGAAAAAATTCACGAGATAGGGTAATAATGCTGACTAGAATAAAGGCCGAGGTGTTCGAATAAAAAATGGTAATGAGTAGTGAAGGTAGCTTTTAGGGTGCCCTTGGAAAATAGACAGGCTTTTGTCTTCTTCCATAATCGGAGACCCAGAGATTTTCTTTGCGTGTAATGCAAAGAAAGTGCTTTATTTAAGAGAATGATATTCTTTTGGGACCATGAGCCGAAATTTTGTGATTGGCCTTCCATCATAGGCCACAAGAGTTTCGGGAAATGTGCGGGATTTTTTGGCATTGAACTTGTAAGCTCAAGACCGGAAAATCGCACATATTCTTATATATTTTTTATTTTGGTACACGCTTCTGTGTTAAAAATGGGAGAATATTCATAAATTTAAAGCCAGCAACTTAATTTTAATTGCAGGTCTAATTTACTGAAAGAATTTTTAAGGATATTTCTTCCCTTATAAATGCCTTTAATGTTTAATAGTATCTAATTGTTGATGTATGCAATATTTTAATGATACTAAAATAAAGAAAAACAGTTTGCCTAATTCTAAATATTTTTTGTATCAGCAGGTCAACAGCAATACTTCAGGGTCAAACCACAAAATACTGCAGTTGTAGAAGGACAAACCATCGAACTGCAATGCAGAATCGGAAATCAAGCTGGAAGTGTTCAATGGAGCAAAGATGGTTTCGTTCTGGGTAAGTCAAAAAATTACTTTTGCTAATTTTGTATTTAATGGGCCCTACTTTTATTGCTACAAATTTCAGTCGATATTTTAATTGATGCTGAAGTGTCTTGAAGAATTTCTTGTAAATTTCATTTCTAAGTCTTCAAACTATTATGCTACTACGTTTCTTTTTTTCTTGACTTAACGATTTAAAAGTATTGTCTAATATCTTAAGACTACAATGAAATAAATTCTTTTCTTTGTATTAGCAAAATGATAGCTCCTTCACCAAACTCTATTCAACAAGAATTTCATAAAAACATTATATAAGACTCCAGTGAGAACTAGAGGCGTCGCTAAATCAGTATGTCGTTGTAATGATTCTTTGAAATGTTTCCTTAGATCCGCTGTAGAGTACCTCAATATATAAAGAAAACATTTAATTATACCCGTCAGCAAAATAAAATGAAATTTCTAATTCAGTGTACTTCTACATTAGAGCCTCTTTGCAACTATCATCCTTGCTACAATTTAAATTCTACCAACTGAAGATTAATGTCCAACGTTATCATTTTTCAAATTTAGTGTATCTTTTGCTGAGTAGATAAGAAAGAAATAACCTTTGCCGCAAACTATATTATGTAGTGTCTTTTTCCTTAGGATATTTACTTCATTTCTATCAATCAATTATGAAATGACAAGATTGGTGCCAAGATTCTTTATATAGTACTGCATGCGAAATCACGTAGGCTCCAGTTAATTTAATCTAGATTGTCACGGTACTTCTCTTTTTCGCATATTCGGAATTAGTAATAATCTTTCTAACGTGCTTGGAATAATTTAGACTTCCAAACAGGCTTGTATCAATTTTTTGCATGGGATTGCCTAAGAGTTAATTAAGGGGAGAATATTTGTAAATTCATGTATTTTATTTGTTATTATAGTGATTTTTTAATAAATAGTGATTTTAATATTATCAATCATAAAGAAACTAGTTTACATGACACCATTTAAGTACAGTTATCTGAATCATTAGAGGAAAGATAAGCGACTAGTGCTTCGTAAGATAGCTTGAGAATATTATTAAAATACAAAATACATAATATTCTTCTTGAATGAATAAAATATAGAATTCAGATTTTTATTATATTAACTGAAATATATACCTGGAAATTTATTGAAGTTTTTTTTTTTTTTTTTTTTTTTTCGTGGATTTTGGTAAATTTTAATGTTTGATGCTGTTCTGTTAATATTTTATTTTTTAGAACCTGAGCCTCTAAAATCAGAACAGTAAAAGTATTTTAAAGATTAATTTAAAGAATGCATATTTTTTGTTTCAGTACTTAGCGGGATGTAAATAAGTTAAATAAATATAGATAAAATAACTATATTTTTTTTAAACCACAAAATTTATTTATCAGTAAGAAATCAACTATCATAATGATGTAACTTCTTCAAGTTTTCAAAATGTATTTTATTAAAAAGCTGCGTATAGGGAGGGATAGGTAAATTTAATGTCCAATTAGATGTATTCTAGCAGTATTTCAAAATATAATGTTGCGTTCTGCGGGTTCGTGGTTTTGAAATGACTGATGGCAACACTTGATAAAGAATCAAAACACAATTTATTAGTCAGTATTACACGGTAAAGTTCCAAAGATGCGTTACAATTGTCAAAAAATTACGATAAACACGCTGAAACAATCAGCAACATAGTCTGCAGGTTATCAGGCTTATAACGGTGAAGACAGCTTCACGGCCAAGCACTAAAGTGCAGCTCTCTGTCGATCGCTCGGTCGGTTGCCGAGTTCGAATAAAACTTTCGTGAACATAATTGAGAGACACGGTAAGTCGAAATTTTGTTTGAATTATCTGTGTAAAACGAACAGTACGATTATTAATTTGCAAAAAAAAAAAAAAAAAAAAAAAAAAAGACCTTGAACGATTCTTGAATTCAGTTTGGCGAGTACTTGGCGAATATATTTTGACAAGAGCTGTAGTTTCGCTCTAATCCAAAGAACAATTTTAGACAAATTAAGCAGTTTGGGACAGAGTGTAACTGATATAAGAGCAAATAATTACAGTTATTCTCAAAGTTAAGAATGAAGTGCAAAAGAAATTTAGGTGGTGCTTCTTTATAACTGGTTTTCTAAAACCTCTTCATATATGACAAATTACGCTTCAAGTTTTATTCGCCTAACGCTTACTAGTCGTAGGTATTGTATTTATATTATTGAAAAAGTTTAATTAAAAATCACATTTCTGAATATTTTATTATCTTGTTAATAATACTGAAATATTTGTTTCTTAATTTTAACTGTGCTGGCTTTGAAATATAATTACTTAGATTTATTTTTTCCTATTTTAGGTTTATGACAGGAAAACGAAAAAAAAAACATTTAATTATACATTTGAGATAAATATTGCATTGTTTTAATATTTAGAAGTGCTTTAAATTGTACAAAAAATGTCCAGTGTAATTCTTAACAAATTCTTAAACGAGGCTCAATTCTGATGTGATTTTGTTTTAAATATTTATTTTGTGAAGGCTGTGCAAGATGGTTTTTTTTTTTCTTTAAAAAATTTTACTAAAATATTTTATTTTGCATGTCTGTTTTAACATAGGTATAATTTATCTATCAGAGATAATCTATCTATCATAATGAAATGATACTAGCGTCTAATTATCAGTTCACAAGTGTATTTTTGTTTAATGTTTCTTTTCACTGATGCCGGTATTTATCACTTATGACCTCCTAAAACTTATCAATTACCAAGACCGTAATATCAATGTCTGATTATGTGAGACTATAAATCCTCTAGAATACGCAGATATAATTGCAGAATCTATCATAATCGATATCGGCACTGAACTCTTCACATAATAACTGGATGTACTGAACATGAAGCACCGAGTGCCTCATTGTAATTAGATTTGCTTCTACATAGGTCCGCTATTATTATCCAATTCCCCATCTAGTCTTCTATTGTTTGAAAGAATTAAAGGCTGTGTCACGAAGGTTTACTGCGTAGCGTTCACGTTCGCAATGGGTTGAAAGAGCTCGAAACTGTCTTCACAAAAATCGATTTTGTATTTGATTTGTTTAGGTTTTTGTTTTGCTCGCTTTTTTTTCTAGCTCTAGAGGCAGCTGAAAAGACTTTTTGTAATGGCAAGTTCGTCGGCTGTCTGATTTTGTGTTCGTCGACGTTGTCTTATAATCTTCTTGAAAAGATTGTTCTGTGAGTTTCCACTACAGTCAGCGAATGTCTTGTTAGGCTTAATCTCAAGAGAAAAGAGAGAAGTTGTTAAACCAATTATTTTTTAAATGTTTTATGCATCATGAGGTCAATGTTTCGCGAGTAATAGCAAGAAGAAGCATAAAAATAAAAACGCGAATGCATTTACTGCTTCCGCGCAGTGTCCACAACAATAAAAATCAGGCAAAGCTTATCAGTATATTCAATCTAAATCTGTAAAAATAAACATTCTAACAGAGTTTAGCTGAGTATTTTTTATGCCTGTGCTAATTAACTGAGTTTAGAATTAGAGGGAGAAAAAACGAGGGAAGTAGAAGTAGTGTGGATTTTTTTTTCCGTTATCGACTTCTTAATTGCAAAATTTTAAAGAAATGCTCAGGTTTGCAAAGGAGGCAAGCAACAACTCAGCGCATTGTATCCAGAACTAGAATATTCCGACAATAAATGTGACATTATTCGTTTATGAAAGAATGCTTTCTCTGATGATTCGACAGTTTTACTTGCGGTATGCGAGGCTTTTACGAGCAAGTTTTTATTTCTGATTTTCACATTAGCTAACAAAAATTAATTCCTTTATTTACTTACATTTAACAAAAAGTCAATACCACAGTCGATTTGTAATGTAGACAGATATGAGAAACATAAAGATCTTATTTTAATAACTATAGTTCTGATGAGGTATGATTTAATTCATAGGGGAAAACAAATCTTAAGGGGACTCATACACCTTAAAACTCATAAGATGTTCGAATAGGTGACTGTCGCAAGAATTGGGATAACTTATTTATTTTAAAAGCAATTACTACCAACTTTTTACAGCTGACTACATAATATAGCTGCTTTCTGAAATAGTAATCAGAAAGTTTGTGTTGCCACAAATATTTTTTATAATTTAATCCGCTTTGTGACAACATTTTTCGTCATGTTTCCAACTTGCGCGCACAGTTTAAAACATTCTGTTTCATAATTTAAATCCATATTTAATATATAGCTTTTATAACATTTGAAAACTACTGTAAACCTAAAATTCTAAAAATTTCATGTTAAATTTTTATTTTATTTGGAGCTGAGTTTATAAAATGTATTTTATTAAAAAAATGTGTAATGTTTCCGTCCATGAAATTTTTCAATACTAAAATATTCATAAGATTGTTGGTTCAGTTAGAAAATAGTGCCCATATAAAGAATTCCATCAAATTTCAAGTATGTACCATTTTAAAATATCATAAAATATTTATCATAAAATATTTTTAAAATATCATGCGCGCAAGATGGAAACATGGCGAAATATTTTGTCACAAAGAGGATTAAATTACAAAAATATTTGTGGCAACACAAACTTTCTGGTTACTAGTTTCCAAAGCAGCTATATTATGTAGTCAGCTGTAAAAAGTTGGAAGTAATTGCTTTTAAAATAAATAAAATATCTCAATTCCTGCAACAGTCACATATTCGAAGATCATGAGGGGGTTTAAGGTGTATGAGTCCCCTTAAGTCATAATAGCCAGGTTAATCTTGAGTCCGATTATTATGTTAGATTCCAATAATTTTAAGGATTAGAAAGTTTTAAAAAACATTAATCATTTTTAAGGACTTGCAAAAAATCATTTCTTTTATAAGTGTATAGTTCGACCGACTGAACCGCAACCCTGGTTGGCATTCTGCCAAAACACATAGACTCGTCCAAAAGGGGCGGTATTACTTGCTGCAACGTGAAAGGTCTTCTCTTCTCCGGAAAGAGCTAATGCTGGAGGGAAAAAGTCTCCATCCTTC